GACAAAAGTATAATTGTATGCATGTGCAACATGTACAAAAAATATAAACCTATCCCTATGTACTAAGAAGTGTTTTAAATAATGAAAAAAAAATTAAATGGCAGGCTGATTTACTATTCATTGATTTATTGATGAGCACTATAAAATATTTTGCCATTCCTGTGATAACATATATTTTGCAAGATGTAGTCGATAGTATAAATATAAAAACGATAAACAAAGTGCATATATTTAGCTATATAATGAAACTTAACAAAATGTTATATATAATATAGATAAGTTAGGCCTGAGATAAGATGATACGTTATTTTCATGTAATTAAATACGGGTAACATAGATTTATAATTACAAATTGTCTCTTCATTTTTTTTAATGTATACATATTACAATTTAAAAGTGCTAGAACAATTTTTCGTGGGCATCATTTGTTAGAAGCTGGCAACAAGTTGAATCCTTATCACCAGCACGGAACGGGTTGTTGCCACGCTGAATTTTGGCCAAATTTAGCCAAACATGGTAAATTTTACATGTTTTACCAAAAAACGATATTTTGAAGCTAGTCCGTCACTGGAAGATTTATTACAATACGAAATTGGTAAGATACGAATGCTATTAAAATTATCTGTCGACCCACAAATTACCAAAAAACATATTTTTTTAACTTTTGGCTAAATTTGATAATACATGTTTTAATAAATAAATACGAAAAATACAAAGCTAACAACCTCTTCGTCTGATACTTTCTCAAAAATTGACCACATTCAAAATATAACACCTACAATAATTTCTGACATTATCTATTTTGTATTTTGAAGTCAAAGGCTAATTTTCATATATTTGGGATCATATGAAAGCTATTAAAAGTGTCTATCAAAGGATGTTTATGATACTATAATGCTACATTATGTTAAATTAAATAATACACATGATTTATTCAATAATTATGAAAAAACTAAGCTAACAACATCTTTATCTGATATTTTCTCTGACTGACCACATAAAAAAATAAACCGCTTGTAACAATTTCAGATAGTATTCCTTTTAATTTTGAAGTTAAAGTATGTCAAATATCATCTCCCATAAAAATGCATTGGTATTTTGAAGCTACTACGTAGACAAATTCAGATTCAAAGTATAAATATAATATGTATCGTCATTTACATCATTTCATTCGAAAGGGTAATTTTATAGCTTTCAAATGATACCAAAAATATTAATATTTTCTTAATTATTTAATAAAACATGTATTATTAAATTTATTTTTTTTAAATCGTTAAAAATCGGTTTTTGGTAATTTTTGGGTCACAATAATATGTTATCATATACATCCTTCGATAGATAATGTTAATAGTTTTCGTGTGATATCGATTACATTAAAATTAAATCTTCCAGTGACAGACTAGACTCAAAATACACATTTCTTGTATAAAAAAGTGTACAATTTGCAATTTTTTGGTAAAATTTGGCATATAAATTCAAAATTCAACTTGGCAACAGCTTATTCCATGTGAGCCAAGAGCTTGTGATGAGGATTCACGTTGTTGCAAAATAATGACTTGTAACAAATGATGTCTACGATAAAACTATCAATCAGATGGCCACTCGTCTATAAATCATATAAATACAATACCCAGCCATCGTACATGTCTAATTTAATATGAAAACACTTTAATCAATATGCAATAATAATATTATGCGCAAGTATAGTACGGTAGTGTCTATTATAAGCATTAATGTAATTACGGAGGTGTATACGGCATGATAATTGCATCAATTATGATGTAAGTATATGACGGTGCACTTTACGTAAGTACACCGGTGTCTACTCCATGCATTTATTATGCAAGTGTCTTCCACTTTGTTACTATTAGTATAATATCTGACCAATTTTATTTAGTATATTAACGTCATATCCAATACAGGTCTAAATAATTCAACAAAGAACCTATAACAATATTTGATAATCTGTAACTTGAGCCTAAGTGACGTAAATCTAACCGTCTATTTATTGTGCATATCAAAAAAATTACACTACTTTGGTAAACACATTAGCTTTTTGGATCGCACACATGATTATTACTATCGAGCGACAGGTCCTACCTGTAAATGAAAAGGCTGCAGATCAATATGCCCTGTGCCATAAATTGTTTATAATTTATGTAGTAATGCATCGACAGCAATATTGTAGGTTATTTTTTTTATTATTTTTATAGTTTATTCGGTTTTCAGATAAACATTACAATCATACAAAAAAGAACTGAGAGAAAAGGGCATCCAAAAGTACCAGGAGCTATCAACGCTATCATTGTGGCTCTCCAGTTTTGTAAATAAAATAGTCAAACCTTCACACATAAAAACTTATAAAAGTTAATTAAAATTTTAATATAAAATATAATAAATAAAACAAATTATTATATGTACTAAACTGTCTTGACCAATCTACATAAAATGACAATTATAAAATCATATAGTATGGATCGAAAAAAGAAACAGTGCTAAAATTGTCTGACCAAGCAAAATTTTACCCCCAATCATAGAACATTTTGCTCCCACAAACAAGGAAAATTAGTCAAAAGAAAATATTTAATTTAAAAAATAAATAAATAAATGCTGGTTAATCCCATTATTACAATAATTAATTATAATGGAGACCTATCCTACTAGATTTTAAATTACAATATGATATTTCGGCACTTGATAAAGTCCGTTGTAATATTGAGTTAGGCCTATACAAACGGTTATATTTAGTTATATGTATGTATACTGTTTGTTGAGGTTATTTTTAAGGTTTGCGATTTGGTGAGCCAGGAATAATTTTCTAGGCGTAAATATTACAGGCTTTCTGTTCTGTGAAGTTGGTTTTATAAAGCCGTTGTATTTTGGGGTACTTTCAAATCCTTACATTATAACATCTGCTAATCGTAAGAGGATGTTTTTGTTATTTTTTTCTAGTCCTAATTTTATGACATTTAAAGGTATCTTCTTGTTCATAACGCTGTTGTATTATTGTTATTGCTCGTCTTTTTTGTCTTTAATGAAAGATATATGTTTATACTTTGAGATCGTCGCAACGACTGTTTTTAGCTCCTACACTGTGGTATCTTTTGATTTGCTTCACAAGCTGAAAAAGTAGTTCAATGAACTCGCAAAAGCTAATAAATGAGATGCCAATGTAGAGGCCCGCTGTACCACCGATGTCGCTGAACAAACTCTCCACCTTAAAAAAAAAGTAATGAAAACAAAATATTGTCATGTCATCATCATTATTAATATTAATGCTCATCTTCATCATTATTCGATTAGTGTAGTTATAAATAGTAGTAGTAGAATAAACCATCAACTGCGTCAAAAAACAAGGTATATAAACATAATAATATAGCCATCTCATATCATGTATGAAAGGAACCCATACTCTGTATTCCTCCGTAAATACGCGTTATGAAACGGACTATTTATTATTATTTTCATTGATATACAAAAACATCCGCATTTAAAAATTATAGTTTATCAAGAATATGATGTGTATAGGCTTTCATTACAGCATTGAGTGAATTGGGATTTACTGAAAGATTCCACATAGAAACTAAATCAACTTAATGTGCGGTTAGGTCTATTTTATTTGTATATATAAATGCGTATGAAACTGTATGGAAACATTAACCTTAAACTGCACAACATTTGCGCTTATTACTTAGGTCACCCTAGTTTATTATCGTTTTTAAATTTGGGCCAACGCCTAGTGCTCCCATTGCAACTATCATCATCACCTTCATATTTATATGCGGCATTAATAATATCATGTACGGTACCATAATGTACCATGTGGCCTCAATACTATCATTACCGTACCATTATCATGATTGCATTATCATACGCATTATTATATCCATCACTACCAATATTTATGAATAATTTAATATGTATATTTTGTTTTCATCATTACCTGGTATGCTGGTTCCTGTACCGTGCTCTCAAAATTCAACTCCTCGAAATATATTGCTAATCTGGCGATATTTTCTCTAAAAAAATAGTTAAAACAACTCTACAAAGTTTCATAAAACATTTCACCATTATTCCATTTGAAACCGATGCGACAGATAAGTTTTCTAATTAATATCGTATGATTATTTGTACTCAAAAATATATTAATCTGTGTTATAATTAATTTATTTCATCTTAAGGTGCTGCTCCATTTAGGGGAGCAGCACATCCAGTGGATGACAGTGGTTTACTCTAATCCAATCCAATCAGAACATTTGTAAAGCGCCTTTCTTTGCAGATACGAAGCGCTGCACCCCACATATTAGGCACCTCACAACCCACAAGCAGCCGGCCGTGATCATTGCCTAACCGATGCACAGAACAAGTAAACAAATCAAAAGAAGCCGTGGCAAAGTTGTTTTTTTATTTTTTTTTTTTGCTGCTCCCTGGCATTGCACTGAATTGTGCTGTTATCTTAAATTAAAAAATATAGTATTAGTTATTGATGAGTATTGATCTATAATACCTGACAGAGGCCATGTCGTTGATACCGTTCGTCTTTTTGTTGATATTATGAATACTTTTCAGCAAATGTTTCTATCAAGATAAAAACAAATTTATCAAAATTAGAAAAGAAAGATGTGGTGAATGGAATGTTGTTCATCTGTAGTCGTAAGTGTAAAAACTGTATTGAGTATACAGTACTGTCATTGTTTAGCTAATAAGCCTAAATAACATTTTATGTGAAGCGCTAGGTAAGTTTAGTTTAGTTTCCAATAATACGTGTTTTACTTGAATAATGATTCAAGAAATGATTGTGAACGTGATCATATATAAAATTAACATCAGCATTCGGAGAAAATCATCAGGTTCCAGATATATTATATCAATTAAGGAAATAGAAATTCAAAGTTGTACCATCTGTGGTATATCTGAAGAATCTCTAATCCAAAAGAATCAATCAAATTGATTATACACTTCCAATTAAATACAACTCGAAACAATTCAGTATTTGCTAAAACTTAAAATTAGCTATCAGAAAATCCTATGCAAATAACAAAATAACTGTTTTATTTATGCGTGTGTAAATAATGATTGGCAAGAGAAATATCTTCTTATTCTAACATTTTATTATTTTGCATCTTATGAAGGTTTTATTGAATTGTATAAAACGTATACGAATGATTACCAGATAAACCTCTGACGGCCAAAGCGATTGAGAGACTGTCTTTGAATAGTACTGTTCACTGAAATTTAAAAAAATATATGATGTTATAAAAACAACTCTACAAATTACGGTACAATGTAAATTTTCACCAAGTCAAAAGTTTCAAGTTTATTCATCGTTTAAAATAAATCTATCTAAATACATTTTTTATATAATGAATAAATTCAAACGTTAGGGAATGACCAATAAGAACAAGTCTCGATGAGATGGCTACCCTAAGTGAGGTGCCCAATAAAAAAAAATGCAATTGCCCTCAGAGAAGTGAGCTATAGTTAAGGCGGTAACGTGGGTTGATGATTTGCAACAATTTCTCAGTTGCGATTGACTAAATTGACGGCTATCCTTCTCATCCTTTTTTGTTAATGACAACATATCAAACAAATAAGCACCCGTATGTTATAGGCTCTGTCCAGACTTTTTTTTTGACAAAAAAAACCTGTTTTATGCCCATATGTCATGATATGGCATGCCACATGTTTTTTCAAATAAAATTTGTTAGAAACATGTTAAAGACATAATAACATCTTAAAGACATTAAACAATTTTATAGTAAGATAACATAGGGCTATGTAAAAAAAAACTGTTCATGAGTAGATATACTGTACATGAATTATAAATCATAGGAAGCTGATAGTGATAACTTTTGAGATTTTAAATGGTATTTGGCAAAACGTGTTACTTCTGACCTGCACTGCTGTTTGCAATCACATCCAAGCAGTTGCCGCTGGTAAAAGAAATACATTAGCTGTTTGCAAATGTCTGAAATGACAAAAAAAATTATTTTGGCTGAATATAATGTGTAATAATAACTAAAGGCATACGATAGTCTATGATACTATTTGTCTTCATATACAATTATAAAGTTAAGATGGAGCTAGATGGCTATTTTATGGTTTAATTTATAACTGCCAAAAAATTTTTTCCTGACACCAGCGTAATTACATATATTTTTAAAAACTGACATAGGACACAGTCTAACAATTAATAAGTAAATTATTTTTTTGATTAAAAATACACATCTAGCCTATTTCTTATCAAATCCAATTGTAAGAACAACTTATTAAAGAGTATACCATCTAATATTTAAATTGTACTTTTAAACTTGCAAAATACGTCACGAATTTACTTCAGTCTAGTAAGATTTCTATTTAATATCATAAGCGATCATGAAATACCTGTTTTGGGTTGTTGGGTGAGACACTGCTACTACTGTACCGTTAGTGTAGTACTATCTGTTTAGCTGTTGACTGCTGTCTCTTATACACATCTAGATGTGTATAAGAGACAGCATCTAAGCAGTCTTCCGAAAAATGAAGTTTATTTTAATATCGATCCCGAAATACATGTAGGGCTTAGGCCTAGGCTCTATCTGCAACACTGCAGGGTATGTACTGTATGTGTGTTGTGTTGGGTGGGCGTGTGTGTAGTGGTGGTTGTGACTCTGCGGTATAGGCCTAGTTACGCACGTATAGATGGAGCCTTGCGAGGCAGGATTTAATGTTTTTTTCATGGCATTATGTACCAGTTGTTATAGGCTAGACATATATAAATGCTGACATAAAACATGTAGTATGATTTACTAACTAAATTAAAATATATAGGCCTATATTTTTTTTAATTTTTCAGCAAACGTGTGAATCTTGCAAGTTGCAGTTACCTTGCTAGAATTCTATGTTCTTTGATGAGATGTAATAAATCAGCCATAGCCTCTAACATGCCAATGAACCAAGCAAAGCCTTGTTGACTGCTGCCAAGAACGCTTTACTAGCTAAATGATAATATTTATAAATTTATATTTTAGGCCAACTGCAATGTGTAAACAAATGTAAAATTGTTAAATAAAAGTAAACAAATTGATGAAAATTATTTGTTTTCTTCATTTTGTGTAATACTTTCATGTTGCACAGCGCGTTGTAAGGCGTCACAGCGCGTCGCTACAGGAGGCGATCGCTTCATGAAAAAAATCTCCCTATTTTTGGGTTTTCAAACTTGGGATCTCTGCTGTTGACTGTCTCCAAGGAATTATATGCGAGGGTTATGTATTCTTAATATGGATTATGCATGTAGATTATAACAATGGCCGATTTCAAAAGTGTGTGTGTGTAGGTGTGTGTGTGTGTGTGTGTGTCAATACCTACCTCGATCTTTGTTCAGGACCCTGCACCTTTCACCTTTTAGCGAAACTGCATCTGAACATTCGCACCTTTCCTTGATTTTGACGAGGACACAGCTTTTCTCACAAGACTATTATACAAAATGTGTTCAGATAGTTTTCAAATGTTACTTTGTTGCATTGTACAGTAACAGTAATTAGAAAATGAAGTTTTAGGACATACCGCCTATTATGAAATTCAAAACCCCTCTAACTTTCAATTTACCAATTTCTTTGCTTATTTTAAATGATATACCTCTGTGAATTGAATTATTATAATCATCATCGTTATACTCTGCAATATGGTAGCTTTCTATTTATCGACATACCTTCCGGTCGTAGCCATAAACATACTTGTTAACACCATATGCCTGGTTCAGCATATCATGGTACCTCTCATTACCTTCTGATGAGCAATTACCGTACGGGTGCCCGAGTTTTGTGACAACGTTCTATAATAGTCAAAATGCAGCACACGAACCCGTTAAACTACGATATATAAAATCTTTTCAACTCGACATGTTTATTAGGTTTGTGTCCAATCCAGGACGCATCATCATGCCAACTGGTCTTCCGTGGCCGAAGGTCATTGACCTGTGACGTCAGATAAAATGTCACAGGCTATTTTATACTATACATTATATGATGTTCAAGCATACGTTTGGAGTAAATGAATACTTGATACAAATTCCTGATTTTAAATGTAAGAGAATCTTTACAAAACTTAGATTGGGTATTTTAGAACTAGAGGTAGAACGGTTGTAGATGAATAGAAATAGAAAAAAAGGACAGATTATGCAAGTTATGTAGCTTAGATAAAATATAAGATGAATATCATTTTGTTTTAGTGTGTCCATATTTCACTGTAGAAAAATATTTCTACCACATTATTTTCACAAAAACACTCCAATATTTAATTTCTTTAATTTAATGTCGTCTAAATATGTGAATATTGTTATTAATTTATTAAAGTACGTATATTATGCATATATGATTATAGGAATATATAATTAGAAACCCTCACCTAATTTATATTCATGTTTTATTATGTTAAAAGGAGGCCTATTTATTACAAGCCTTCGGGCACAGAAGATTGGATGAATAATAATATTCACAAAAGTACAAATTACGATGTTTACCATTTTTCTCCAGCAGCGGCAAGAATAGTCCAGTCTATCTGCCTTTAATGGTATTTTTATTTGCAGCAAAAGGACAAAAATGGTATGAGCCAAAAGCTTCCCGAATCTTGATGTCCATATTTAGTTTAAATCATTACATATATGGCCATTAAACCAGTGGCAGCGCCAAAGAGGAGTCGGGGTCAAAATGCCTAAAGTGATCTTTTTTTATACGTACATATCTCAGGCTAAGTGAAGTTATCACTCCTGGTCTGATAGTTATGCCTTCATCTTCTGGAAACTTTAGCCTGTCGCTGCTATCGACGACTACTCGTACGCCAGCCTCGCCTCCGTAGATACTAATGTATTCCTCCTGCTCCGTAAATAGAGTCAGCTTTAAGCCTGTTATTGTGCAAGATTTAATTTTCATTATTTTTTACGATGATCCCTACATGAGATGCTTGTACTCGCCGGAAGATAGATATAAGATAATACAGTTGCTGATATGTATGTCTTTGGGACAAGCGCGTAATCTTAGCGATTATCTGATTGGTCAGTTGTTAGGTTTGATTGACACTCGGGAAAGGTACATTATTAGCTTTAAATTCAAATTAGAACGATAAAATATTTATAGTCTGTAAAGTAGCAAAAAAAGATCAATGTCTCATTCAAAATGATCTCCGTTAGTATCAGCAATTCAATTTGTGTAATCTGTCATAGAGTGTGATTCTGGGAAGGTTGTTGTGAAATGTCTTACCAAATTTTGCTCCAGTGCGAGTTGAATTTCTGACGGGTTCACCATTTTGCCCATGATTAAAGATAAAGCAGTTCCCATACGCGTCATTTTCAAAATGAATGAAGTCCCTGTGGAGGAAAACAATGTATAATTCCCGTTAGTCTTAAAAGATTAAGAATTGTTTTTTGTTCTATAGTGCAAACGTTATGAGATAATAATAAAATAATAAATGTGTTACGATTCCTTAATTCAGGGTTTGCTGTTAAAATTGTACATTGAAGACCAAGTTTGTTTTTATAACAACAAAGTATGCGACAATGGCGTTTTATAAATACATCTAGATACTAGGATATTTACAAAATATTTAATTTAATATGAGTAAGTTGCTTGTACCTGCATGGATAAGCTTTCGTCAAGTTTTTTGTAAATACATTACTGTGCTCTTGGATAGCTTAAATTAATCTACTATAAATAATGGGTACTCTAGACTCTAGATTTTTAAACATTGCCGAAAAATAGCGTATTTCAATTTACCTGATCGAACATTGGTTCTGGTCGAACGTACACTGTAAGATAAAGTCGTTAGCCTGATGACCGTGGTCTTCAATCTCATCTTTCGTCAGTTTAAGGACGTCCTCTAAGTCACTGTAGTCTGGAGTTGAACTGAATGACATAAAGCCGTACCAGTCAGGAGGAACCTCTCCTTTCACCCTTTCAAAGTCTCGTTTCTTGTAAAACGCATCGATAAATTCTTTGTAGATATCTTCATCAATTGTAATGTCGTTATAATTCTCGTGCCAACCAGATTCAAATGTTACACTAGCTTCAATGTCTATGAAGTTAAATTCACATTTATAAATAGACCGTAATGGCGGTTGATATCACAATTTATAGACGTGTACCATTGCAAAATGTACCTACATTATTGTTAATGTGACGATTAGGTGTAAAATTACCATTTAGGTGTTCAATATTTAATGACTATTTTTTTAATATTCATGAGTTGTTTTCGAATTTATATATTGGGATTATAAATAGTAATTATTATATTATTACATAATTATTATGATTTGTTATAGTATATTATAAATAACAATATTATATTAAAAATAATATATTATTACACAAATCAAGGTTAATTCTAATGTTAAGCCCAGACGGCAATCAACTCCATTTTTTGTTCCATTTGGTTGCACTCTCTCCTTTAATTCATCGTTTTATCCCTCCGTTATCTTATTCTGGAATAGTCTACCACAATCAGTAATAGACTCGAAAAACAAAATTTAATTGAATTCTTTAAAAATTTAACCATTTGCAGTCTTTGTTTGAGTCTTTATTTGATGTATGTTTTTAGATAAGTTTAGTTAAGGGGAGGCTAATTATTAGCCACTAGTCATGGCGACTATGTGGCTATCTGGCCTCCCTATGTTGTTTACCTAATTTTCATAAGTAAAAAAATAAAATAAAAAAATTATTAGCATATGTTGATGGTTATTACATTAAACAAAACACTAATTAGATTATAAGTGCTGCACATAGATATCATTGTATTCCTTGGTTTTATTCAATTAAGCTTCCCTCTCTGTGCATTCCAGGTTATTGTGCAACATCTTTCAGAGATTGTCTCCGGCTATGTTCTCACACGGCAGCTAACGGTTAGCAGGATCCGGATCCTGCTAACCGTTAGCTGCCGTGCGTCCATACGAGAAGATCCCGATCCGGATATCAAGAATATGATGATCGAATAACTGGCCAATAAGAAACTGGAAATGGTAAACGCGTACGTGTGATTGGTTTATGATAGAAACACGCTCAATGTCAACGTGCTAACCGATAGCGCTTGCTAACCGTTAGCGGTATCCGGATACCGCTAACGTTTAGCGCTAACCGTTAGCGCTCCCGATCCGGATACTAGAGCTCTCGTGAGAACCAGGCTTTAAAGTAATTACAGCCTGGTTCTCACGAGAGCCCTAGTATCCGGATCGGGAGCTAACCGTTAGCGCTAACCGTTAGCACCTGCGTGAGAACGCCCGATCAGTTAGCGCTAACCGTTAGCGGTATCCTGATACGATAACGGTTAGCAGGCGCTATCGGTTAGCAAGTTGAGGGCGTTTCTATCATCAACCAATCACACGTACGCGTTTACAATTTTTTCGATCCGGATCCTGCTAACCGTTAGCTGCCGTGTGAGAACATAGCCTAATATAACTTAAGCCTTGTTCAGACTATTGAACTGTATTTGACAAAAACATGTGAGATACCTAAATTTCGTCATGACATCACAACATGATCATAATAGGTATCATGACTATATATGGGCATACAACAGTTGTTTGTTAAATAAAAGTTGATAGTCTGGGCAGGGCTTTATAATTAACATTATGAAAATAGATTGTCACCTGAATTTATGCAATCTCGTTCGTCACTCATATCAAAACAGTCAAACACAGAGTTACATTTGCTGTATTCGTGAATGCATTTACCAGAATCGCACATGAAATATTTGTCCGGACAAACAACTCCTAGAAAATTATGTAGACAACAAGTTTGTCAGCTACAACAGCATTACATTTGAACCATTGAACTATATTGACGTAAAACATAGCTAATACTTCAATAAAAACAATTTTTAAAAAATTGTGCTCAAATTTTTGAGTTAAACATTTTTGAATAAGTGGAACAGTTGTTCACTTCTCAAGTCATATGTTTGAAGTTTGTGGAACGCTGCTCTATATCCCACCACCAGTGTCTATTATTATTATTATTCTTTATTTCTTATAAGAAACCATCTTGACTATAATTGTATTATGTATTATGTATTATATTATGTAGTAATATTACAATGAAATATTGTTCGATATAGAGAATGAGGGTGTTCGTCAATACGCGATACCTGTACTGTTGCGGGAGCAGTATGACTCTGTTTCGTCCGAGTTAAAAAGGCAATCGTCTTCACCATCGCATTCAAGCAGCGCGTCGATGCACCTGTCCTCGCCACGACATTTAATCTCTCCTGGGTTACACACTTTAGAGAAAAACAACAATATATTAATATAACACATAATAGTCCATAACTCAAAAGGATAAGAATACAAATGTTTTCTGAAAATTTAAATCTTGTACGGAATGCGAGTGAATTTGTAACATTTGTATTTGTATTTGTATTTGATTACTTTCCAATACAGCTTCATCCTTCATTCAGATGCAGTTTAAACTACGAGATGTCTTTATTCAAGATGTATTTAACTACAATCTTTAAAACTCATTTTAGTTTATAGGGAATTATTCCATCCAAAACGGAGAGATTCGTCAGGCAAAAAGGAACGCTAGGTCGTTCAAAACATCATAATGTACAAGCGCAAAATCAATTTTCTGATTGTAGTCCTCCCAGGGCCTTGTTAACTGTTATGACTAATAAATAAAACAATTGCTACATGAAGTACTTTAATCATATTTGTATGGGGAACTTATGAATAAGATGTTTCCAAAATTAATACATACTGCTATCTACACTTCCACACAAATACTCGTCGCTGCCGTCTGAGCAATCAGGGTAGTTGTTACATTCCATCCAGCTCTCAAGACATTCACCGGAAAGACAGCTAAATCCACCTGCACACTCTATAATTAGGATAGAAATTATTTGGGTTTAAATGAATAAACAGCTTGTGATAAATCTATGTTATTTCATTTTCGTCAATAGATTAAAAAAAATGACTGCATTTTGTTTTTTGTTATTGTTTTGCACTCATATGAGGAAATAGTACGCCAATGAGGTGTCATAAGAACACTTTAAGAAGCTCCATGGGTTAACCCCATCACTATAACTTACTCTAGCAACTTCGACCTAGTGCAACCTCAAAAAATAATTTTAAAATTCACTAATAATTTATATGGGTTAACAAATGAACACTAATTGTTTTAACCTTCCTAGCGTAGTCCTATTTGTCTTAGTTAATATAATTTCTTTAAATATAAATGACTCACTTGGTTCCACGGTTGATTCAACAGTAGTAGTTGGTTCCGTTGATGCTGCGTTATTTCCGATATACTCAGTTGTAAAATAGTCGGCATCGCTTCCAATTTGAACGGGACCATTGTTGGCTGACCGCTTGCGTCTACCAGATTCAGATCCAACATCAGAAGAGCCTGCAGACCTAATGGCAGATTCGGAGTCAGAATTTTCAGGCTGGACATCGACTGAACCACTGATCTCAGTAGTAGGTTCCACAAATGATCCCAGTTCTGATGCAATTGTAGATTCACCATCAGATGCGCCCTGTGAATCAGGAGTAGACTCGCCATCAGAAGAGCTTTGTGAACCAGGTGTAGATAATCTGACAGTCGAGCCCACTGATCCAAAATCGGACTCAACATCAGACGAACCTTGAGAACCAGGTGTAGATGCACCGTCATACGAGTCCTGTATATCAGGAGCAGATGAACCTTGATGACCAGGTGTTGTTACACCGTCAGACGAGTCCTGTGAATCAGCAGCAGAGTCACCATCGGGCGAACCTTGTGAACCATGTGTAGATACACCGTCAATCGAGTTATGTGAATCAGGAGCAGACTCACCACCAGACGAACCTTGAGAACCAGGTGTAGATGCACCGTCAGGCGAGTCCTGTGAATCCGGAGCAGACTCAATGTCAGACAAACCTTGAGAACCAGGTGTTGTTACGCCGTCAGACGAGGCATTTAAATCAGGAGCAGACTCACCATCAGACGAACCTTGAGAACCAGGTTTTGTTACACCGTCAGACGAGTCCTGTAAATCAGGTACAGACAAACCATCAGACGAACCATCAGACGAATCTTGAGAACCAGGTGTAGATACACCGTCAGGCGAATCCTGTGAATCAGGAGCAGATTCACCATCAGACGAACCTTGAGAACCAGGTGGAGATACACCGTCAGACGAGTCCTGTGAATCTGGAGCAGACTCAGCGTCAGACGAACCTTGAGAACCAGGTTTAGATACAGATTCAGATGAGTCCTGTGAATCTGGAGCAGACTCAGCGTCTGACGAACCTTGAGAACCAGGTTTAGATACAGATTCAGATGAGTCCTGTAAATCAGGAGCAGACTCATCATCAGAAGAGCCCTGTGATTCAGATTCAGATGATTCACTTGAAGACGACGACGACAATGAAGAGGAGTATATATCTTTGAAGATCAAAACAAACATTGAAATGGTTTACAATCTTCTTTTGTTTTTTAAATATTGTAATTAATAGGAATAAGCATACACAGGCAGAAGACGATAATTAATAGGTTCAAAGTGTCTATTTGTGCTAGGTTTGTTTGTAAAAAAAAAACCTGTACAGGCTCGGTGAAAGTGTTTATTAAATGTTTTTAATTTTGTGAAGATACTTACAGTAATCTCCATTACAATCAGCTTCATCCGATTCGTCATCACAGTCGTCCCACGTATCACACTTCCAGCCTCGTGGCAGGCATATCCCACTACTTACGCATGTGAACCCATTGCATTCTGATAATTGTAATAATATTATTATTTTATAATAATAATAATAATAATAATAATTATTATTATTATTATTATTATTAATTTATTATTATTATTATTATTATTATTATTATTATTAATACTAATGATACTGTTGCCAGAGCCTCTAGGCGTTTGTTTGCACTGTCCATTCTTAAACGTGCTAATAGAACTGTTGATGATCTCATCAGTGTTTATAAGGCTTATATTAGACCCGTGCTTGAGTATGCAGCTCCTGTATGGCATGGTGCGCTAACCCATCATAATAGGAATGCTGTTGAACGTGTACAGAAAAGGGCGTTCAGGATTATTCTGGATAAAGATTACAACAATTATGTTAATACATGCAATGTTTTAAATGTGCCTACTTTAGAACACAGAAGAAATGTACTTACCTTGAACTTAGAGAATTGTTACCTAATTACCACATGCCTACTAGAAATCTAAGAACATACCAATTGCTGGAAGTGCCAATATGTAAACATGAGAGGTATAGAATTTCACCAGTTAATACTATCGTTAGACTTCTAAACAATGACTATGCTGCTTCTTATTGATGTTTTTCGCTTTTATTTCATTTTTTTTTTGACTAAATTTTGCTGTTTTTTAATGTAGTTTTTAATTATTCTAGTAATTTTTTTTTTTATTTTTAACTGTTTTATACTTGTATGACTTGTGCTTGCCTTTGTGCAATTTTTCATGGTTTTTATATTTTTATATAATTGTAATTAATATTTTGTACATACAATTTTTTTAGCCTTTGTGCTACCAAATGTATTTTGATGTTTATACCGAAATAAATAAATTATTAAATTATTATTATTATTATTATAGGGCTACAAATCATTAAAATAGGCTATATAATACAAGTATTATACAAATGAAACATCTGCATTCTATGATAAGCAGCTTTGTCCTAATTGTGCTTACTTTATTTCAGTGTCATACGAGACAATCAATGCCGTAGCCAGTTATTGAGATAGTCGGGACTAATTAACTATGGGATGGGTCCACATTAGATTTTAGGTGTAAAAAGGATTTTAATTTTTAAAATGATCCCTATTATTCAGTTTATATGCACGCAATGGGTCTACAGTTTAAAAGATTAATTCGATTTTATGAGTAAAATAGGTAAAGAAATAGGTACACATTATTTAGTTTTTTACTTGTAAACCATGGTCCGCTGGTTCACATTAGATAGATTTACACATAAAGTGGGTCCCGATTTTTAAAAAATGGTTCACATTATTTAGTTTATACGCATGGAATGGGTCCACATTAGTTAAATTTTATGCATAAAATATATACATTTTTGCTATTGGTCCACAATATTGAGGTTGTACGAGTTAAATGCGTCCACTTTCTTAAAAGGTCGATCCACATTAATTAGATTATAGGGGTAAAATGGGTCCAAATTTTTAAAATGGTCCTAATTATTCTGTTTATATGCATGAAATGGGTCAACATTTTAGAATATTGGTCCACATTAGTTAGATTTTGTATGTAAAAAGTTAAAAAATTGGTGTAATACTTGCCCCGGCCCTCCTTCTCATATACTTTATTTATTTAATATTGAACATCTTTTTTCAAATTAAGGCACAATTAAAACTTTTTTTTCACCTCATCCCCGGCCATGGAGCTGAGGATGTGGACTTTCCTGATGCTCATTCTTTCCTCCTACTTATTCGCATCAAATTATCTAATCAATTATATTTAAAATTAAGAGCCTTGAAAACTATTTTTTAAGTCTGAGTGTTCCATTTCCAGACATCCAAGTCGCCAATCCCTTAAATTGTTTTCAGCCTCAGCCGCAAACATGGTGGGGCAGAGGTGAATGTCAACTCTCTTAGTATGCCTACTGTACAGTCCTCCTCTCAGATAAAAATATACAGAAATGTTAAAGAATATGAAAGTGCAATTTCCAGGCATCTAGATTTGCCACAACATATTTTTTTTTACCTTAGCCCCGGCCAACCATGGTGGGGTTAAGGTGGATGTGTGCATTCTTGAAGCCCATCCTCTCTACTATTTTTTTAAACAAATAATTAAAATTAATAAGTTTCTGATAATAGTGTTTCATAAACATAAATGAAGATGAGAATTCAATTTCCAGGTATCTAAAATTGCCACATCATAATTTTTTTGACTTAGCCCCAACCATAACGGGACTGAGATGAATGTAGGCTCCTGATGCTCATCCCTCTCTAGGGTTCTTTTTTTTTTGGGTTGGGGGGGGGGGGTAGTGGAGTTGTGCAAAGAATTATCATTATCTCATACATTATATTTAAATTTAAGACCATTTGAAACCCATTTTTAAGTCTTACAATCTCGGTTCAAGGAATCCTTGTTTTTTTTAGACCTCAGCCTGGCGGTGAAGGCTTATATTTTTAGGCTGTTCCATCTAGCCAGAGCTCGATCAACCAGGTTGTGTTACTCTGTTTTGTGACGTTTTGGCACATAATGGTTTTTTTTTTCTTCTTTAAAAGCAAGAAAAATAATTTCCAAACTGAAAGAGTTGCATCCGAAGGAATGCTAGTATTATCTGGCTGGTCGCCCCTCTTCCTCCTCCCCTCCCCTGCCACAGCTGCTAATAATTAATATAGTTTAAAAACCGGGTACACAAAAGTCAATAATTAGTCCGAAATGGGTTTACGGCATTTGATGCATGACTGGATGCCCGTGATGTAGCGCGTAACCGAGAAGCGCATTTTTACACACCATGACGTGTGCACGTAAAGTTATGTCGGCCACAATACGTACCACATTCAATCTCGTCAGAACTATCCCAGCAATCAGGATATCCATCACATTCCCAACTTGCGAAGATACATTGAAAGCCACTTGCACACGCGAACTCCCCGGAGCTACATGATTCCTCAAAACTCGATCCTTTAATATTGTAGAACACAAAACTTAAGTATGGTTATCTTATTTACATCATTGTTACAACAAATTCGATAAGCTTCTGCATTTTAAATCACATGATAATAACTTTGGCATGGAGATAGGCATACACCTTCACTTGTGATAATTAAAGATAATACTGGTAATAAATATTTGAGAAAAACATCGGGATAGTAAACAAAATGTGTATTTTAATAGTCTTGAACCAATGTCGATATTTTTTGTTCCTATTGTTAATGTATGCCTAACATCATGATCAGTTTAGTATGTCAATCAATTAATATTCATTTTTTGTAATGTTGTGTGTTCATTACATATAGGCCTATATATAATATATATATATATATATATATATATATATATATATATACGGCAATCTCTGTTCAAATGATATTACTGTAGCAAATTAACTGAACGCCTGGCAGACTATCATTAGTATGTCGGTTGAAACATTCTGACAAATATTCACTACTATTATTTATATTTATATTTCTTGTTCTTATATTAAAACGAATTAACGTTATTAAACGTAGCTTTACGTGTGCGTGTCTATTTTCTACTGTCAATACATAGGCCTTTACAGTAAACAAATAAATCATGTTATTGTCTAAATTTTTTATAATTCTCTTAATTAACAATTATGGGGGATTTTTTTAGTTGTGGTACACGGATAATATATCTTTACTATAAAAATGAAATGGGTTATCCTTAAATCGTAGTTATATAACTGCACAGAATGCATTTACTTATCAAAATATATTGACGGTTTAATTACCCCAGCAGTCATATTCGTCGCTGCCATCTGAACAATCTTGTTCAAAGTCACATACCCACGTGCCGGGAATACACTCCAAACTTAGGCACTGAAACTCTCCAGCCGAACAAGCTATGAAAATAGAAAATAATACTCGCATCATTATAGCATGTAATGATCTGAAACTAAATCGATCGTTTCTATTTGGCAGGTGGATAAAAAAAATGGGTATTTATACCACTTAATAGCAAAACAATACATATTATTTTATTTATTTATTTCCATTTCTTTCTGTAGCCCTCTCACTGCTCTAAATCTTAACTACCCTAAAACACATTTCACAAAACAAAATACTTAATTAGAAATGAAATCATCCGTTATGTAATTGGGTTTCATTTCATTAATTTCTCTGCTTAATATGTACGCCTTCTACCTAATACAATATTTTCATTTGTTAAAACTCCATTCGAAAGAAACGAGGACTCATCTACTTTTTTTTATGGAATATCCAATGCCAAGAATAATATGTTAAGTGCATGGAAAGTCTAAACCAAATAATGAATATATCTATTCGTGCAATACAATGAGTATTCTTTACAATAATTAAAAAATTATCAGTTTAAAGTTGTCTCTCAATTGTTTAATGGAACAGTATATCTTTTAACCAGTGTGTGTGTAATAAAATGGTTCATTTTGTTACACAATACAATGAATATGGATTGGAGATCAGAAATTCAAGCGTTATACCTTCAAATGGTTCTATTGTTGTACAGTCGTTTAACTCCATAATCATCATAACTAGACTATAATTGTCGGATTCTCGCTCTCCGGATTTTGTGAAAATTCATATTATTAGAATATAATAAAATGTAATTACCCGGTGCAACGGTTGTTGCAATGACACAGTTTTCTTCTAATTCGTCTTCTCCTTTCCGACAATCCGTATATCCATCGCATCGGTAGCTATGGGGTATACAAGCGTCGTCAAGGCACTTCCAACCATCCGTACAATCGATGTCTGCAAATACATATCAAAATATGAGAAAAGACATTAAGGAATGATTTCCCCTAATAATAATGCAATATGGGTTCTGGTGGGTAAAGCCGACCTCATAAGGACTCCAAAAGTGTAGGATTATAACAGGAGGTGGGGAGGGGGGTAGAACTAGGGTCGAATGACAGGAAAGGTTCACCACCGCAGTTTAAGACGCGCAGCGTGTCATCATGAGGTGGCTTGACGTACCGCCTCAGGCTGCATAGGACCTGATAGGTAGGAAACTCACAATCACACGAGCATCGGCTTTGCGAAAAACCACATTTGGTAGTGAAATCTAGGAGCGTTTAGAGGTAGAGTAAGCGAAAACGACACCGCCAAGGAGCAGTACAAGCTAAGGTAAAGTTAAATTGAATAATTAAATTAAATCTATCGAAGAAATGTGAAGTTAATATTTCTGAATTGCTAAATTTTAATACTTATTAATCATGTGAAAGGCTTATTTAATCATTTTTAGATGCTAGCAATCTGTAATTATTTTTTTTTTCTCTCCACGACGAAATTGTTTTTTCTCAATCACAGTAGGATGCTTTCTCGACGAATGCCTGCCTTCTCCACCCCCGCTCATTGGTGTCGTTATATTGTATCACTAAATTTCTATGTGAATAAATTAAAGCGTATGGGTTATACTATGCTCTGCTTGTAGAATATGGTAGTGAGATGTCTTACCGCATCCTTCCTCGTCACTGCCATCAGTACAGTCCGTTGTATTGTCACAAACAAGTTTCTTGTCAATACACCCTCCACGCTCCACGCATTTAAATTCTTTCACTTTACACTCTGGAGTAAAAAAAATGATTCATTGACCCTTTGCGTAGATTGAAACATTCCAAACACTCCAGGGCATTATTTAATTTACTAAATTAATATAATGTACTAATGTTCGCATGTCAGTGTCGGTGCGTTCCTTTCATAGATGTGCTTGTTAATGTACTGTATTTTTATATGAGTGACCGTGAGATATCGCCTAACTTTATATCTAGACGTGCATGGCCGGGCGCACGGCTCATATTAATAGGAGAAACTGTCAAGGTACGCCCATTATTACCAAGTTACTTGACTAATGTGTGTTCTTACCGCATTTATCCTCGTCCTCGCCGTCATAGCAGTCACTGATCCGATCGCACTTGTGGGATATGTCGATACATATTCCACTGGCACTCCCGTTGGAACATTTGTAAAGTTCATCGCTTCGACAGTCCCCTAAAATATTGACATAGACATAAACTACAAGTTATTTAATACACAAACGTATAAATATGTATAAATATGTATAAGGTAAAGCCTACATAGGCCTATAGGTTATTTGGGCTATTTACATAATATTGAGAAAGAAATTGATTACTCTATTAGCTGAATGAAAATTGAATCATGTTACCTATAAACATTAGCAATATAGACTGTATTTCTACATAACCATTTATATACATACATACACTCACACCCCTGTCTCTTATACACATCTAGATGTGTACGCTAGTTAGTCAAACCAATGAAAAGGTCAAACAGTAGACAAACAGCCTGAAGTGCAAATTGACCTTTTCGCTATGTCCCGCCTCTTTTATACTGTTGCTAAGGTCGCACAAAATTACAGCGTAAATTGATTTTATATATATTTAATTTTGACCGCATCATTTTGTGTGATTTTAGTCAAAGTTAAAGTTGAAGAAGTTGGTGAACACGTGCGGTAGGGGGACAACGCTTGTGTTTTATTGGACAAGCGAGTAAGGCTTATTCCCTAGTTTGTTCTGGTTGATCAGCCATTCAGAAAGATTCAACGCAACAATAAAACAGAGCATTAGTCAACATGTTAATTTGTGTCCTCGTAGTTGAAATCGGCATGTCAGAGATTTCCTACCGTAAGTGCACCCATTTTCGTCGCTGAAGTCACGGCAGTGGTTGATACCATCACACCTCAGGTACTGTTTGATACAATTCTCACCCGAACCGCACAAAAAATCTTCTGGTAAACAAGGCGCTGTAAATGGAATAATTATTATAAATAAGCAAATTAAAATGTATATATA